TGTATATAATGCAACTGAGAGAGAGAGTTTAATGTGCACTTCTCCTGCTGTGTTTTGTTTAGCTCTTATGGTGATTTTTTGGAGTGAAAAAGGAGCAATAAACTTAGAGGTGCTGTATGTAAGTTTTTGACTCTACTAAAGCATAAAAATACCATAATAGTTTTGCAGATATTTAGGAAACATGCTAAGTTAACATACTTGTTTATCTGAAAAACAATGCTACAGTCAGTTATTCTCCTTTGAAAATGTGCGTTCCGGGCCGGAATGTCGGTCTCTGTTTTGGTTTGTGAAACCCGCCCACTGCCAGTTTACCCAATTGTATTTCGGCACCCCGGGTTGCCAGTTGGCGGAAAACACAGCGTATTTCATTTCATTAATCTTCAAGTGCGCTCTTTCCTGTTGGTGTCGTCAATCTGGCAACCTGCGTGTGCGTCAAGTCTGAGGAGGAGGGGCCGGGTGAAAAAAAACCCTCTCCAATATTTTGAATTTGGACTGCAATACCTAGTTCAACCACTCGGTGTCAATTCTACATACAGCACCTTAAAATATGTACAATTACACCATTATGGTTTTACATCCTATAAATATTGTCAGTGGTCTAGTGCAATTTACGATCATAAAATATTTGAAAGACCTTGAAACACCACCTTTGCTAATAATTTAGTGTATTGCTGATATTACAGACAGTAAGCTGGGTTAGTGTGGTTGAGGATGCTATGACAAGTACTGACAGTTAACGTCTGTCGGTTTAAGTTTGGAATTCTGTGTCTATTATGTTGAGCATCACTATAAAGCATTGTGATGCTGGTGAGAATTACACGACCAACCAAACTTTATATGCTGGTACACTGCGCATTTTGAAAGGAAGGATGAGTCTTGATACTAGGTGGCTGAAGTGGTCTGTGATATTTGGTGTAACAGGACATCCCGGGAAGAAATCAGACAGTTTTGTATAAATCACAATCAAATAGTCATATTTGCATAACAAGTCCAACACTTCTCTATATCAAACCTAGACATGTTTTTGTACTATCATCATAGTAATAGGGAATTTGTGCATTAAATAAAGCAAGCATCAAACCCTGACTGCTTTCAACTGGGCTACCTTTTTCAACAGCATACTTGTGTAACATTTAATGTGCTTAGATATTAGGCTAAATTATATGCCTACAATGGAGTGCTTAGGTCAAAAACAACAGAACTCTACTGCCTCTTAGAGGATATGATGAGAATAATGACAAGTCTATGTGCCGTTGCACCCAAAAAGCAGAGTTGTGAGAGTATGATGTCAAAACAAAAAAACACTGCAAAGGTTTGTTAACTTCATCCACAAAAACAACAGGAACCAGACAACAAAAACTTCACACTGTAACATTACCACAATACATCAGGGGAAACAAGTTTGATCATATGTGCTCAGGTTACAGGACCAGAGGCTAGTGAACTAACTAATGGTTATATCATATACTACAGACACTATGACTGACATCATCATAATAAACACATAATAGATTCCCCCATGACAACATTAAAGAAATCTGATTGTTGTTCCCAAAACTACATGTCTGAGATGTAATACATGATCAAGCAGGGCATATGAAGCAACTTTTTCTTCATACTCCAACCGAGCATATTTCTATCGAACATGAGCAAACTTTGTTCTTATCATTTGCTCTTGCTGCCTGAGATATGTAGTGCTTGTCTTTAAGCCCAGACACATTCTGTCCTATTTGGGGAAATTATTCATACAATCACAATCACAAATACTAATAATAAGTATTAAATATTCCAATAAATATTATCTTGACCTTTCTTCAGTACACAAAATACAATCCACACAACCAAATGTCTTGGAGACATTTGCAATGACTTCAAACCACACAGGTCTATAAGGCTTAATCAGAAATAATGAAGTATGGCCTGCAGGAAATGATATCAGTGATAGTCACCCGATAATTTTTGATGCGATCATGAAGGAGTGTTTGCACATTTCAGGGTTTCTTTTGTAGTACAGAGTAAAGCACACTGCATTCACTGTGTAAGTGCACTTAATGGGCACATAGTGGAGCATGAAAGGTGGAAATACTCCTTCTGGCAGAATAAAGATGAAAACCCAATTTCCTTAACTGTCTTTACTAACAACGCACATGGGAAAGTGGAGCTGGAGAGACGTTCCATTTGCAATTCAAACCACACAGGTCTATAAGGCTTAATCAGAAATAATGAAGTATGGCCTGCAGGAAATTATATCAGTGATAGTCACCCGATAATTTTTGATGCGATCATGAAGGAGTGTTTGCACATCTCAGGGTTTCTTTTGTAGTACAGAGTAAAGCACACTGCATTCACTGTGTAAGTGCACTTAATGGGCACATAGTGGAGCATGAAAGGTGGAAATACTCCTTCTGGCAGAATAAAGATGAAAACCCAATTTCCTTAACTGTCTTTACTAACAACGCACATGGGAAAGTGGAGCTGGAGAGACGTTCGAGCCACAAACCTGGAAATCTTAGAAAGTTCCGAGCCAAAGATCATTAGTGGAAAAAAAAAAAAATCATACAACATGCCTATGATAATCTAGTATAAATCAAAGTAGTGAATATATTGGTAAATAAGTCTACGTGTGTGTGGTCAACATAAGATGGAGGTGTAAAGCAATGCAGCGGTTAACATTCAAGCATCTTTAACTAAATCCAGCAGTAAGTTCTGACCTTCACTGTACATATAGTCATTTTGGATAGTACAATAACATGGGTAAAATTGTCAAAAAATATATAACTCCGAATAGCAAAACAAAAATAAATATGTTCTACCCTTCAAGTTATGCCCACTTAACCTCCAGTGCAGTGGAGGACATCAACATGGGCCACAACCTAGACCTCTCTACAGACCCTTGTTAAAATAAACAGTAGTGATGTTAGGATTGCTTTGTCGTATACTCTCTTGAAGCTCCGGCTCCAGGCTGCTCACCTTCATAGAACTTCACAGAGACAGGAAACAACCCAAATCAGCATGTCAATCAAACCATGGCAAAAGCGTTTTTAAATTAGAAGCACTCACCTCTTCTGTGGGAACAGAGCACAGCACAGCGGAGTGGCAAACACCAGACTGTGGAGATGGATATGTAAAATAAGTCATTCATTCATTGTTTTAAACCATGATTGCAGTGTATAGCAAACAAACAGTGCCTTAAAAACTCACCAGAATCCAACAAGTCCAACTTGTACAGGGGCATTGAGAACCGGGAACCGCTGAGAAATTAACACATTTTTAAGAAGCATTTTAAAACACGTCCTCTCAGACAGATTCAGATATATGCTTGAAATGAGTCTGTTTGTGATTCCTTACCTTCATGAAGGCCTTCTTCTCTAAGGCATTCATGATAACTGGAGGAATAGCTGTTTGCGGAAAAATTTATTTTCAAAAACACATTTTCTTAAATTCATATTTAACTACTTTATTTGGCTGTGAATAAGAGGTAGATAGAATAAATTTAGTGATTGAATACATTTTTACCAAAATACAGTGCCGTGAAAAGGTTTTTGCTCTCTTCCTGTTTTTTTTATTTTTTGCATATTTGTCACACTTAAAAGATTCAGATCATCAAACAAATTTTAATATTACACAAAGATAACCCGAGAAAATACAAAATGAAGTTTTGAAATAATGATTTCATTTATTAAGGGAAAAAAGCTGTCCAAACCTGCTTGGCCTTAAATGAAAAAGTAATTGCCCCCTAAATCTAATAACTGGTTGTGCCACCCTTTGCAGCAACAACTGCAATCAAGCGTTTGCGATAACTGGCAATGAGTCTGTTACAGCGCTGTGGAGGAATTTTGTCCCACTCTTCTTTGCAGAATTG